TGCAGTCAAAACTAGCCCCTACCTTAACTCTAAACTTTCTCCTAACTTACCGTTGACTTTAAATCTAGGCTTGAACCTAATCATTAACTTAACCCTAACCGTAAACCTAATGCCTATTTCACTGGAAGCTGACTCAAAGCCACCCGTATTACAAGCGGTTCCTGTTCTCAGGTGCTGTTTGGAGCGCAACATAAATCAGTCCTACGGACAAATCCATGCCGAGATTTTCGCACACACGAATTCCTTGGACTGGGAGCTGCCCACCAACCTTGCGGATTTTTATTCAACGCCTTTGTTCACTCCCCGTACACACGTAAAATTTTGTGCGAAAACCTACTGACTGATTTTGTTCGCATACGAAAAATCTAAGTGAACTTAGAGCCATTGTGCACTGTGTGTAGAGGCCCTTATTTACAGTAAGTGGGCTAACTTATAAAATCTCAACAGAAATTTCGAAATGCGTTTCCGTTTCGAAAAGATTTATTGGGCAGGATTGTAAAACCAATCATCAGACAGCATAATTCTATAATAATTCAGTTACCTAAGGATGCCGGCATTCGAACAAACTTCTTTTCGGATGCATCCAAAAACCATACTCCATAAAAAATGGCTACTTGAGTAGCGTGCATTTTTTCATTGATTTTCGATGCACTAAAAGATTTGATTATAATTCATGGAAAACATGCATAAAAATATTAATTCTTTTGCTCATTCAGTAGAAAATTACGACTTCTTTCAATTTAACACTCAAAGGAAGAGTATAATTCGGTTTTTAAAAAAGTTTATAATTGTGAGTGTTTTTAATACCGTGAAATGGCCTTTCATAAAACGCCATGTCTCTGCATTTACCAATGCGGTTTGTAAAGTCACCAATGTGGCTCAGATCCACTGCTTAGTTTTATGAACCCCTATATAGTCCTCCTATATTGTCGTAGAGAAATGTATGGTTTTCCGTGCGCAGAAATTATACGGCAAATGAAACGGCAGGTTGGGTTCAAAATTATTTGGGAATTGGAAAAGTTTTAACCGAATTATACCCTTCCTTCGAGTGTCAAATTGCAAGAAGACGTAATTTTCTACTGAATGAGAAAAATAATGAATATTTTATGCCTGTTTTCCACGAAATATAATTGAATCTTTAAGGGCATCGAGAATCAATTAAAAAATGCACGCTACTCAAGTAGCCATTTTTTACGGAGTATGGTTTTTGGATGCATCCGAAAAGAAGTTTGTTCGAATGCCGGCGTCCTGGGGTAACTGAATTATTATAGAATTATGTTGCATGATGATTGGTTTTACAACGCTACCTATTAAACCTTTTTGAACCGGAAACGCATTTCGGAATTTCTTTCAGGATTTCATGAGTCAGCCCACCTACTGTAGGTGGACTTGAATAAGGGTAAAGGAGACTGGACAAACACCGAGACAATTTGTTAATTATTCTGGACTTGCGCATTCGTATTGGGGCTCATCATCGGAGATACTAGTAGCAAGAGAACAAACGACAGTTATAAGGCGTGTTAGCCAATCATCGATGCACGGCGCAAGACTGAAGGAGACTTCGCAGAGCGCCAGATCGATAAATCGATTGACTGTGTACTCATTCGAGGCTTAGGCCTCCATCAGCTCGACTTGTCTTGCGACTTGGGCGGTTGTCTTGGCGGCTGCGAAGTTAAACTCATGACCCGTTTTGAAGTTATGTGCAGCCACTTGCGATAATTCGTCACCTTGCCACACAATTCCTCGATGGGTGCGTCGGGCACAATTAAAACCCGTTTTGGAATATTGCTAATCAGGTTTGTCGTGTTCGTAAACGGTCCGTGAGGGCAAATGGGCTCCTTGTTGAACTTAAAATGTAGCAAATAGGATACAGAATAGAATGAAATCACAAAATTTTGAGCCGACTTCTCAACACTCGCCTGTCGCGGTGTTGTATAAAAAAACAAGTAAAAAAACATGCTAAAGACTTTAATTATCTCAAGCAGTCACGGTGAAAAAACAAGAGGTTTGAAGTAGTTTGTCCTTTGGTTGGCAAACCCCCTTGAACGCTATCGTCCACCTCCCTTTATTTTATCGCGTTTTAAAATGGCCTTTTTCTTCACCGAATGCCCTTTGTCTTCGTATTGATTTTCTGAACAAATTTATCCTGTAATGTATTCGTTACTCTTTATCACTGTTAGTAAGCGACAGGGAACAGGTGATTAGCAGTCACGAGGTGGTTTAGCACCAACAAACCCTGCTGTTTATATTTGTTGTAAATACGGCAAGGTCGTCGTCCAAATCCGCGGTCTCATGTGTAAGCAAGACAATAGGGAGTAAGAAGCGGGCTGATGACCAGGTAAACTGTAAATTCCTATAACGATGGCGATGGGTGGATGCTGCTGCTGCTGCTGCTGCTGTCGGGACAACACAAAATTGACCAGGAGCGAGTAGGTTTCTAATCATAACTTGGAGAAGGGCGCGCAGGCCTGGGTGTCGCAGTTTCAGTCTCTGCAGCCACTACAAGTGCAGAGACTCCTTAGGAGTCTGGCAGCTTTGCTGTGTGAACGATTCTCCATGACGAGGACGACGTGGCCAGATGTACCTGGTTTTTTTTGAAACAGGGCCCACAGAGGTTGATGACGAGACAGGTTCCCGACCCCTAGGGCTCCAATGCCAGGTGCCTAGAAGATAGACGACTATCGCCTCCGAGTCCGGGAAGTAGGGGAAATCGTCTTTGCAATTGTGCACCTCGATCTGATATGGTAGACAACCCGAAGGTTCCCGAATCAGAGGTCAGGAAGGCGGACTGGGTCGGAGTAGCTTTTACCGAGAGCGAGCTAGCGAGAGAGAGCAATTGCCGCAAGTCGTCTCTTCAGGCAAGCTCTTTTTTCCCGTGTCCGCTGTTGAGCTTATTAGCCCCCAACGCACGTGTGCGCCTTCCGCGATGTCTCAATTGTGTCTGCATGCAGCCAATCAGCAGAGGAGCAGCGTTGATTGGCTTCGGGCACTAGCAAGGCTAGTGACAAGCCTCGCGCAGTTCCAGCAGTGAACGTACAGGGAGCGTGGGACAGACAGGAGGGCAGCGTGGCAGGGGCGGCGGCGATCAGGAGAGCGGACAGTCACACACCTCCTAACATACCTAGCCTCCTGGAACCAACCAGAGCGGCTGACAGGACCCAACTTGCCCAATAATAGAGTGAAACCATCGACAAGTACAGCACCACCGCGGCAAAAGCAGATCACAAAGAGGTTGGCCCGATGTTGACAGAGGGTTTGTCGCGTACGAAACGTCCGATCACCACAGGTCCCCCCCCCCGAAATGCGATAGTCTCAAGCCGACCCAGGCAGGAAGATGACAACAAGGCAACTCCCGTTCGCATATCCCAATATTGCTAAAGGCGAATAAAGGCACTTCAAGTCGCTGCTGGTGTCACAAGTGACTCCCGGAAATCCGGTCAAGAGAAGAATTTTGTGACCGCACCAGAGACATGTCAGGGATGCTTCCAGCCAAGCAACACTATACATGGAATTACCGGCTTGGATATGTTCCAGTGGAAGGCGCCATAGCTGTTCACCATCCGCCGTGAAAATCTCTAGACTGTTGGCTCCGGTAAAACACCAAAGGGACCGCGCTTCAGATGGTAAGTGATAATGCACAGCACCAACACTTCTCATTCAACCTGACATACTGAAGACTGCAAGAAATCGTCTGAACACGACCATGTGAGGCGGAGGAGCTAGTTGGTACATCCGCCAATGCTCGCAGAGACTGTCAAGGGACGAGTCGGGAGATTCAAGGTGACGCTTTTGCGCAAGCCACTATTCCTTACTCCAGGCGGTGGTCAGGGATAGTCAGAGAAGCGCAAGTGTAGCAGAGAGGAAGTTCAACGTTGCTCAACGTGAAGCCGGGTTGGCCGCATACTGGAGTTCCTTAATCTACTTCACCTGATACCCAGGGCAATGATGGGACGCCGGCAACTTGACGAAACAGGACGTCGTAAAACGGCACCAGCGAGCAATACGTTGATCCATGATCAGATATTCAGAAAACCTGAAGTCTTGGTGGCACGCAACATGCGACCACGACGGACCGAGGGAGAGCACGTAAAAACATTGGCTGGGACGATGAAAACTACCGCCGTTGCGGTGGCACGCCCTAGACGTGGGCTTCTGTGTCGTCTCAGTCACTACACCCAAGCCCATCTCTGCCGTGTGTGGCACGCGTAGAAGAACCGTCGAGCTGTCAGCGATCGCGCCCAATCCCATCACCAGCTGGCTTGCTGACAGGCCTAGACAGTCGACTGGCGCACCTGGGAGGCGAGAGCGGGACCAA